CTGTTCTCTACATTTGCTACTTTATTCCCGTCCTGCCCCTAGGTTCATCAGAACCATTTTTTTAAAATTTTAGTGTCCATATATATGTGTTAGCATATATTTGTTTTTCTCTTCCTGACTTACTGCACTCTGAATGACACACTCTCGGTCCATCCACCTCACTACAAATAACTCAATATCGTTTCTTTTTATGGCTGAGTAATATTCCATTGTACATATCTCCACATCTTCTTTATCCATTTATCTGTCGACGGACACTTAAATTGCTTCCATGTCCTGGCTATTGTAAATAATGCTGCAATGAATATTGTGGTACATGACTCTTTTTGAATTATGGTTTTCTCAGGGATATGCCCAGGAGTGGGATTGGTTGGTCATATGGTAGTTCTACTTTTAGTTGTTTAAGGAACCTCCATACTGTTCTCCATAGTGTCTGTATCAATTTGTATTCCCACCAACAGTGCAAGAGGGTTCCCTTTTCTCCACACCCTCTCCAGCATTTATTGTTTGTAGATTTTTTGCTGATGGCTATTCTGACTGGTGTGAGGTGATACCTCATTGTAGTTTTGATTTGCATTTGTCTAATGATTAGTTATGTTGAGTATTCTTTCAGGTGTTTGTTGCCCATCTGTATATCTTCTTCAGAGAAATGTCTATTTAGGTCTTCTGCCCGTTTTTGGATTGGGTTGTTTGTTTTTTTGATATTGAGCTGCATGAGCTGCTTGTATATTTTGGAGATTAATCCTTTGTCAGTTGCTTTGTTTGCAAATATTTTCTCCCATTCTGAGGGTTGTCTTTTCGTCTTGTTTATGGTTTCCGTTGCTGTGCAAAAGGTTTTAAGTTTCATTAGGTCCCATTTGTTTATTTTTGTTTTTTATATCCATTTCTCTAGGAGGTGCGCCTAAAAAGACCTTGCTGTGATTTATGTCAAAGAGTGTTCTTCTTATGTTTTCCTCTAAGAGTTTTGTAGTGTCTGGCCTTACATTTGGGTCTTTAATCCATTTTGAGTTTATTTTTGAGTATGGAGTTAGGAAGTGTTCTAATTTCATTTTTTTACATGTAGCTGTCAGGTTTTCCCAGCACCACTTCCTGAAGAGGCTGTATTTTCTCTGTTGTATCTTCTTGCCTCCTTTATCAAATATAAGGTGACCATATGTGCGTGGGGTTATCTCTGGGCTTTCTATCCTGTTACATTGATCTATATTTCTGTTTTTGTGCCAGTACCATACTGTCTTGATTACTGTAGCTTTGTAGTGTAGTCTGAACTCAGGGAGCCTGATTCCTTCCGCTCCGTTTTTCTTTCTCAAAATTGCTTTGGCTATTCGGGGTCTTTTGTGTTTCCATACAAATTGTGAAATTTTTTGTTCTAGTTCTGTGAAAAATGCCATTGGTAGTTTGACAGGGATTGCACTGAATCTGTAGATTGCTTTGGGTAGTAGAGTCATTTTCACAATGTTGATTCTTCCAATCCAAGAACATGGTATATCTCTTCATCTGTTTGTATCATCTTTAATTTCTTTCATCAGTGTCTTACATTTTTCTGCATGCAGGTCTTTTGTTTCCTTATGTAGGTTTATTCCTAGGTGTTTTATTCTTTTTGTTGAAGTGGTTAATGGCAGTGTTTCCTTAATTTCTGTTTCAGATTTTTCATCATTGGTGTATAGGAAAGCAAGAGGTTTCTGTGCATTAATTTTATATCCTGCTACTCTACCAAATTCATTGATTAGCTCTAGTGGTCTTCTGGTTGCATCTTTAGGATTCTCTGTGCATAGTACCATGTCATCTGCAAACAGTGATGTTTTACTTCTTTCCTGAATTAGATTCCCTTTATTTCTTTTTATTCTCTGATTGCTGTGGCTAAAACTTCCAAACTATGTTGAATAATAGTGGTGAGAGTGGGCAACCTTGTTTTGTTCCTGTTCTTAGAGGAAATGCTTTCAGTTTTTCACCATTCAGAACGATGCTGGCTGTGGGTTTGTCATATATGGTCTTTATTATGTTGAGGTAGGTTCCCTCTATGCCACTCTCTAGAGAGTTTTTTATTATAAATGGGTGTTGAATTTTGTCAAAAGCTTTTTCTGCATCTATTGAGATGATCATATGGTTTTTCTCCTTCAGTTTGTTAATGTGTTTTATCACATTGATTAATTTGCATATATTGAAGAATCCTTGCATTCCTGGGATAAACCCCACTTGATCATGGTGTAGGATCCTTTTAATGTGGTGTTGGATTCTGTTTGCTAGTATTTTGTTGAGGATTTTTGCATGTATGTTCATCATTGATATTGGCCTGCAATTTTCTTTTTTTGTGACATCTTTGTCTGGTTTTGGTATCAGGGTGATGGTGGCTCTGTAGAATGAGTTTTGGCGTGTTCCTCCCTCTGCTCTATTTTGGAAGAATTTGAGAAGTATAGGTGTTAGCTCTTCTCTAAATGTTTGGTAGAATTCGCCTGTGAAGCCATCTGGTCCTGGGCTTTTGTTTGTTGGAAGATTTTTCATCACAGTTTCAATTTCAGTGCTTATCATTGGTCTGTTTATATTTTCTATTTCTTGTTCAGTCTTGGAATTTGTGCTTTTCTAAGAATTTGTCCATTTCTTCCAGATTGTCCATTTTATTAGCTTATAGTTGCTTGTAGTAATCTCTCATTATCCTTTGTATTTCTGCAGTGTCAGTTATTACTTCTCCTTTTTCATTTCTAATTCTGTTGATTTGAGCCTTCTCCCTTTTTTTCTTGATGAGGCTGGCTAATGGTTTATCAATTTTGTTTATCTTCTCAAAGAACCAGCTTTTAGTTTTATTGATCTTTGCTGTTGTTTCCTTCATTTCTTTTTACTTCATTTCTGATCTGACCTTTATGATTTCTTTCCTTCTTCTAACTTTTGGAGTTTTTTTGTTCTTCTTACTGTAGTTGCTTTAGGTGTAAGGTTAGCTTGTTTATTTGTGATGTTTCTTGTTTTTGTGGTAGGATTGTATTGCTATAAATTTCCCTCTTAGAACTGCTTTTGCTGCATCCCATAGGTTTTGGGTCGTCGTATTTTCATTGTCATTTGTTTCTAGGTATTTTTTTGATTTCCTCTTTTATTTCTTCAGTGATCTCTTGGTTATTAAATACTGTATTCTTTAGCCTCCATGTGTTTGTATTCTTTACATATTTTTTCCTGTAATTGATATCCAGTCTCATAGTGCTGTGGTCGCAAAAGATACCTGATATGATTTCAATTTTCTTAACTTTACCAAGGCTTGATATGTGACCCAAGATATGATCTATCCTGGAGAATGTTCCATGAGCACTTGAGAAAAAAGTGTATTCTGTTGTTTTTGGATGGAATGTCATATAAGTATCAATTAAGTCCAACTTGTTTAATGTTATTTAAAGCTTGTGTTTCCTTATTTATTTTCATTTTGGATGATCTGTCCATTGATGACAGTGAGGTGTTAAAGCCCCCTGCTATTACTGTGTTACTGTTGATTTCCCATTTATGGCTGTTAGCATTTGCCTTATGTATTGAGGTGCTCCTATGCTGGGTTCATTAATATTTACAATTGTTATATCTTCTTCTTGTATTGATACCTTGATCATTTTGTAGTGTACTTCTTTGTCTCTTGTTATAGTATTTATTTTAAAGTCTATATTGTTTGATATGAGAATTGCTACTCCAGCTTTTTTTGATTTCCATTTGCATGGAATATCTTTTTCCACCCCTTCCCTTTCAGTCTGTATGTGTCCCTTGGTCTGAAGTGGGTCTCTTTTAGGCAGCATATGTATAGGTTTTGTTTTTGTATCCATTCAGCCAGTCTGTGTCTTTTGGTTGGAGCATTTAATCCATTTACATTTAAGGTAATTATCGATACGTATGTTCCTATTACCATTTTCTTAGTTGTTTGGGGTTTGTTTTTGTAGGTCTTTTCCTTCTCTTTTGTTTCCTGCCTAGAGAAGTTCCTTTAGCATTTGTTGTAAAGCTGGTTCGGTGGTGCTGAATTCTCTTAACTTTTGCTTGTCTGTGCAGGGTTTAATTTCTCCGTTGAATCTGAATGAGGTCCATAACTTGAAGGTTGATTACTTGGATTTGAATCCCAGTTTTAATGCTACATGATCTAGAGTAAATCAGTTCATTTTTTTCTTTTTTCTCTTATAGTAGAATGGAAGTAATAATTATGCCCACTTAACTTACTTCTTCTGGTTGCTGGGAGGATTATCTAAGAAAATGAATTGTGCAGTGCTTTACAGACTTTAATTCTATACCGACAGTAGTATTCTTCCTTATCCTCCTCTCAAAGTAATTTATAGATGAGTTTTTATCTTACCAGTACTGCCTTGTTTAAGGATCTACTCTGTAAGAAAAGGAAAATAGTATTAACTAAATAATATTTAATTTTCATAATAAGTCTGTGATTTAGAAATTATTATTAACATTTTATGGTTAAAGAAAGAGGCTTAGAGAAGTTAAGTAACTTTCTCAATATCAATAATTTTATAAGTAGTTGCTCCCTGGTTTCTCTGAGTTCAGTGCTCATGTTTTTTTCTTTCACAAACTAATGTAGTTTGTTAATATACTGCAACCTGTTCCAACATTCCTGTGTTGATCATGCCTAATTTTGAAACTTCTTGACATTTCAGTCATTCTTGTTCTTTTAATTGGAGTTCATTTATTTCATGCATTTGGCAATTATTTATTGCCAGGTACTGTGCTAAACACTATCAGTTTTTGGTCTTAGTTTAGTCTTTATTTTGAACAGAAGAAAACAAGTTTAAAATAGTGACACTTGCTCCTATTGTCCCCCCTATATTAGGGGGAAATACAGGTTGCTTTGGGAAGTCAGGGAAGTCTTCACAGAGGAAGTGATTCCTAAGCCTGTGCTCTAACATTAACTTTTTATAGAATACAGATGGCCTCTGCCATTATGTCTTTTGTTTTTCTTGTACCATCAGATTCATACTGAGCCACTCATCGTAGGGTGAATAGTCAAATTACTGTTACATATTCTTGTTATTTTCCAGCTTGTCCAGATTATTATCAATACAACACACTTGGAGAAATCCTGTAAGTACTTGGAAGAATTCATCACCAATATCACTAATGTGCTTCCAGAGACAGTCCACACCACCAAACTGTATGGCACTACGACTTTTAAGGTGAGAAAGCCCTACATTACTGTAGAAGTGCTTCTGGTGTGCTGCGGCATTCTACCTAACATGACTTTGTTTCTCCCATAAGTCATACATGGTCTTCAGAATAAGTCCTTATGATTTCCTTAGAAAAACAAATATCAATGCCAATTTTGGGGTGTTTAAACTAAAAACGGTCTACAGCTGTGTCCACTAAATCTTCCTTATATTTCGTTCATGAAAATGACTATTTCCTCAGTTGACCACCTGACAATCAAGTATTTTTAAATATGGTCTAGAAAAGAGTGGTTGCAGCTGAAATCAACAGCAATTTAAAAATTTTAATTTAGTTATCCTTTCTTTTCTGTGTCCTGGGTCCAGTTTTTTTTTCTTTTAACTTTACATTTTAGTGAGGAATTTCTGTCCCTTGCTGTTGTAGTTAGCAATTTTATAATCATCTTACAAGGCCACAGGACTAGTTTTGATGCAGTGTTGGATTAAATGGAAAAAATGACACTCTTATAGAGCAAAAGAAGACTTGATGGTAGATGAGTTTCTGGAGAGTAAATAGCCTTAGGAAACTCATTTATATTGCCATGTGAGCTTTAAATAAATATTAAGTAGAAAGAGTAACAGGGCAATATCTTAAACTAAAATGGTGGATTCTGACATAATGGCCAACATGTATGCTTTGGGAGTTTGTTATTGTTTGATTATTTTACTTCTGAAACAAATCTATGTCACCCTTTTGAAATCTAGAAGTTGTTAATTAGATATGAAGCGGTAGAGTTGAAATCATGATTTATGTTTATGGTATCTCCTTTTTTCGATCATTTTGTTCTCTTTGCCTGTTTATTGGTACCTTCCCTTGAGAATGGATTTAACAGAAGAAATCCAATTTGATTCATATTGCTTATTATATTTTAAGACATATAAAAATTTTTGGTATGATCTGCTCTTTTTTCTGTTCCAAGAAAAAAAATATGAAAGATCCTGACCAGTGCAATCTTGAGAGAGAAGAACAAAGCTAGAAGCATCACACTTCCTGATTTCAAATTATATTATAAAGCTATAGTAATCAAAACGGTATGGTATTGGCATACAGGCAGATACATAGGTCAGTGGAACAGATTGGAAGACCCAGTATTAAATCCATGCATATATTGTTAATTAATTTATGACAAAGGGGCCAAGAATATACAATGAGGACAGGATAGTCTTTTCAATAAAAGCAAGTCAAAACTGCAGTGAGATAATACCTGAGATAAACACATGTTAGAATAGCTATCATCAAAAATACAAGAGATAACATATACTGGCAAGGATGTGGAGAAAAGGGAACCTTGTACACTGTTGGTGGGAATGTAAGCTGGTACAGCCACTATGGAAAACAGTATGGAGCTTCTTCAAGAAATTAAAAATAGAACTACTGTGTGATCTGGCATTTCTGCTTCTGAGTGTGTATTAAAAGGAATTGAAATCATTATCTTGAAGAGTTATGTATACTTCCATGTTCACTGCAGAATTAATCATAATAGCCAAGATATGGAAACAACCTAAGTGTCCCTCAACAGATAAATGGATAAAGAAAATGTTATATACATATTCTCCATATATGTATCCATATATATGTGTGTATGTGTGTATATAGATGTATATATGAATATTATTCAGTCATATAAAATGAGGAAATCCTGCTATTTGAATCTTAAAAAAATTCAAACTCATAGAAACAGAGAGTAGAAAACTGGTTGCCAGGTACTGGGAGAGTGGATTTGGCAATAGAGAGAAGTTGGTAAAATGGGTACAGACTTTCAGCTATAAGAGGAATAAGGTCTGAGGATCTAATGTAAAACATGGTTTCTATAGTTGATAATACTGTATTGTATAATATTTGCTAAGAGGATAGAACTTAAATGTTCTTACTAAAAAAAAAAAGATAAATATGTCAGGTGATGAATGTGTTAAATAACTAGATGACAGAAAAGAAATCCTTTCACAATATATTTGTATATCAAATAACCACAATATGTATTTTAAATGTCTTATAATTTTTTTTCAATTGTACTTCAGTGAAGCTGAAAAAATGGAAAAAGTGAGATGTGTAAGAAGATATTCTTTATCTATGTTCATGATTAGATTAGCTGCTAGATGAGTTACACATTAATGATGTGACCATGGGTTGTTTAAAACTCCCTATAAAATTACTTACAACAGAATTAATTATGCATGATATTATGTTGGTATCTTTACTTGTAAACTTTTCAATGATGTCTCCTTGTAGTAATACTGATACAGTTTTACTGAGGAAAAGACTTATTTCATAAAAGGCCCCAATTATTAGTATCAAAATATGACAAGAGCTTTAAGAATTTCAGGATGACCTTCCTTAGATAGTTTAAAGGAATTATAAGTACTCTTAATATTAGCATTATTATGGAACATGGGTAATAATTTTATCAAAAATATTTCTACATGATTTCTACATGTGGAAGCCAAAATTTCTCTAGGCAAGAAAATGAGGGTGACGCTTATAGTTAAGTGTTCAATAGAAAATAGGAGTTAGAGAGTTAGAATGTGATGTTCATTTATACTTGTTTATCCTATGGGGAATATGTAATATGTACTGCTATTCTTCCCCTAATCCATCTCAATTTTCTTATTTCAAGGGCTTTTCAAATTATGGTCAGAAATCCTCCCAAAGGGTGGCTTGTGTATTTTGTTGTTCCAGCATTAAAATTGCTGAGGGAAAATTAAAGGTAGACAGGAAGCCATAGAGGTTGAGCAACCAGTTAAATACTTAGTAAAGGAGAAGTTCTGGAGATCACTAAAGGTCATGTTGACAGTGCTTATTGGAAACACTGATTGCTTAAAACACATTGAAAGTTTATTTTTACCAGGACTGTTTCAGACCAACTAACCCAGAACTCAGTATAAACATGGCAATTATAACAGCTACATATTGTGTATTTTCCTAAGCTACTGTTTCCAGAAAACTTTCACTTGCAGATGGAAACCTTAATGCTGAAAAAGGGGCAAAAACAATCAGAAGGTCTTCAAGGTATTTTCTTGCAGAATTCCTTCTTGTTTCTACCACATGTGACCTAATCAAGCTGGTATCCTTAGCTTTCCTTGTTTATAAGAATTCCCTCACTTACAAAATAGAATGAAGGTATTTATTAATTTACCCCATCACAAATATTGCTTGTGTACCTACTATAAAATATGGACGAGAAAATACTTAGTCCTTGGATTTAGAGTCTGTAATCTACGGGGAAGACAGACACTGTAAGTTCTATAAAGAACTGTTCAAAAAATGCTGGAATATTAAATCTCTCACTGATTCTCCAAGTTTTTATAAAGCATCTGCTACATACCAGGCAATAAACCAGTCTCCTGACTTTACACAGCATATATTCTACTGAGGGTGATAGATGATACACAAACAAAAAATTTAATATAATGTGAGGTAGTGGTAAGAGCTAGGAAGAAAAATAAATGACCTGAATGAAATAAGAAATTGAATCACTTGGATTTCTGATAGATAAGCAGTCCAGTCAGAGGTAACAATATGGTAGAAGGTATTGGTGTATTCAAGGTGATCAGTATGCAAGGGGGTCAGTCTGGCTGTGAAGTATTTATCATTGGTAAGGGTGGTAAGAGACAAGATCGTCAGGAGGCATATGATTTCTGGACTTGCAGGCCCCAGTAAATACTTTCTATTTTATTTTGGAATGAAATATGAGGTCATTAGAAGATTGGAAATGGTGGTGATAACCTGATTTATGATGGGTAACCCTAGTTGCTATGTGGAAAATATACTATAGGTCAGTAAGAGTGGACGAAGAGAATCCAATTTGAAGGTCATTGCAGTAGTCTAGGTAAGAGATAATGGTCACTTGGACTATAGTGGTAGGGTTGGAAGTGGTAAGAAATATTTTTGAAGATAGAGATGTCAAGTTTTATTGCTAGATTAGGTATGAGATTATAAGAGAAAGAATGGAGTCAAGGATAATTGCAAGATACTTAAACTAAGCAAACTGGATTAACTAAGATGGGGAACAGCGAGAAAATAACAGTTTTGGGGAGTGGCAGTAGAATCAAGATTTCCATTTTTCACATATAAAGCTTGAGGTATTTATTAGTCTTTTATATCATAGAGATTAAATTGACAGGATAAAGTCATAGCTGGACATAAAAATTTAGAATTCATAAGTGTAAAGATGGTATTTTATGCCATGGAGCTGGCTTTCTTCTGGGAATTTAATATAGATAGAGAAAAGGTGTGAGGATTGAGCTCCAAGGGAAATCAACATTGACAGGTCTAGAAGAAGAGGTGAGTGGTACTTATCTCAGCTGTGAGACCTTCAGGGAAGACTTACCAGAAAAGGCCCAGTAGGAGGTGTCCAGCAGGATTATCTTGGGACCAGCAGGAGGTGTCCAGGTGGAGAAAGGATGAGGAGGGAGTAAGGGACAATTTTAGGTGAGGCAACTTCATGTAAAAAGATGAAATAATGAAATAAAATCATACTTCTTTGGTGTAGAATAAGGGTAGCAATGACACAGAGAAGTAGGTAAATATCAATTGTGAAGCACTTTGTTTTATAATGATAGATAATTTGGACTTTATCCTACTAAAGTCTTTGAGAGACGTCAAGCAAGGGTGTGTTGCAATTTTAAAAATAATCATTTACTTTGCCTAATTAGAAGGAAGGAAGGAATGAAAAAAGGATGGAATGCAGGAAAGGAATGAGACAAGAAAATGAAAGGAAGGAATAAATAAATCACAATTACTTGAAATTCATAATCAGAGGAAATGAAATACCGAGAATACTTTGTATAACTCTGTACTAATAAATTTGATGATTTATAGGAAAATATGTGATTAAAAAAGTGATTTAAGAAGATAGAGGACTTCCCTGGTGGTGCAGTGGATAAAACTCGGCAGTCCCAATGCAGGGGGCCCACGTTCAATCCCTGGTCAGGGAACTAGATCCCAGGTGCATGCCAGAACTAAGGGTTTGCAT